GGAGTTTTCTGGTGGGGCTCTCTGGTGGAGCTCTCTGGTGGGGCTCTCCGCTTGACCCAGCCCTGGAATCCATCCCAATTGTGGTGGCCGCAACAAAACCCACTCGCGATCGATGTCCATCCACTCTCTGCCCAGGTGGTTGTTGGTGTTATTATTATTACTACTACAGTATTCGTTTAATTTTTGTATCTTACCACTCTGATAAGGCGGCGGTCGGTGGGTCGCGCGTGTGTGTCCACTACGGACCTGGCGACCCCAGTTAGATTCAGGCTCATGGCCAACATCAGTGACGATTTTCTGAACCGGTCCTGGGCCTCCCCTAGGCAGACTCAGCCTCAAACGAGTGCCTGGCGCGATGCGTAAACATCACCACTGGGAAGACAAAGGCGGCCGGGCGTGGTGTTGGCCACCCACCCCCTCGTGTGCCGTGGCGGCCTTCAAGGGCGCTACTCGCCAACAGCACTTGCCCCAACAGTCTGTTACAGGCCACACGGGGGGGGGGTATGGGGGGGGTCTTTGTTGTGCATCTGGATGTGAACAATAAACACTCCCAATGGAGAAGCGAGACAGCCATTAAGGCCGGTGACGGCATGCGGCAGTCACTACATCCGGTCACCACCACCGCGCCCGGCCGCCTTTGTCTCCCCCCAGTGCTGATGTTGTTGCAGCGCACCAATCGATCACCGATAACAGGGGGTGGCCAACCAGCGATTTCAGACTTCACAGCTCGCCACTGATGTTAGCCGTGATCGGCAATCGAACTCCGATTGACTGATGGGGTTCTTAGCGCGGTGTGCGTTCAGCACCTCGTCACATATTTGGCAAAGATCCCCCATATAGCCTCGTAGAATGTTTGATCAGTGGCGCAGTAACGACGTTTTCAGCCCAGGGGGTCCCTGGAATCGGTCAGGCCCGCCACCCCAATATTTGTTTCGTCTGGCGCGGTCGCGCAAAAGGCGATTCCACATCGCGGCTCCCTTTGCCCTAATCAGCGACCCTTCACCTGGGGTGGACGCTGCACCCCCAGAGGGTGCGAGATGCCCTTTCTGGGGGTGCGAGGCATGGGCAGATGTTCTTTTTAGAAGGTGAATCATCGAAGACGAATTAAGCACGGGCACCTAAGTACAACGACTTGGTTTCATCAAACCCGACGTATTTATCAACAATTGAGACCCAAAGGGGTGCAAGGCTGCAGTAAAGGTTAATAAGAAGCACTGCCCCAATCACGGTGGTTGTCAAGATGGGACTCAACTCGTAGCTTTCGCCACCAGGTGGGGTGGGGATGGGGGCAAGGCACCCCCCAATGCCCTCGCCCCCGTCTCATCCCGCTGCTGGGCTCGATGTTTGTGCCACCGGCAAAGCCACCATCGCGTGCCGCGCCTCGCAGCGCGACAGAGCGGCGGTCGAGCGAGCGGCTCGCAATCGACGACACTTTTGAGAGTTCGACTCCTGGTGCAGGGTCGGACGATATATTAATGACTCAACAGCAGTTGTCCTATAGCGGGAGTGGGGGAGGGGGACTCGACCCCCCCCCACTATAGGAGTGTGGAGTTATCCGCCACTGGCTTCACGGCTGTGAACGGGAGATCACTTCGCCAGCAGCACTTTCCCCAACATTCTACAAGGCTCCATGGGGGATCTTTGTCTTTGCCAAAGATGTGGTTAGCGCGCACCGCGTTATGAACCTCCGACAGTCTGAGTTCGAGTCAAGGCCACGGCTACCATCAGTGGCTAGCAGTGACATCTGAAACCGCCGGTTGACCATTCCCGTTATAGGTCGTCGATTGTTGCGGTGCGTAAAACATCAGAACTGCGGGAAGACAAAGTCGGCCGGGCGTGGTGGTGGTGACCGGATATAACCACTGACGCATGACGTCACCGGCCTTAATCGGCGCTCGCTTCTCCACTGGATAGACAAAAGACAAATATCCCCCGTGTAGCCTTACGAGACTGTTGGGGCAAGTGCTGTTAGCGAGTAGCACCTATGAATGCCAGCACGGCGCACGAGGGGGTGTGAGGCTGAGTCGATCTAGGGGAGGCCCAGGATCGGTTCAGATAATCGTCAATGATGTTGGCCATGAGCCTGAATCTAACTGGGGTCACCAGGTTCGTAATAGACACACACACACGACCCACAGATCGCCGCCTTTTCAGAGTAGTAATATAAAAATAAATACTAATACTGTCATAATCGAACCCAGGATGGCCGGGTTCTGTAGCGCAGCGCGCTGACCGCTACACCACCGCTACCCACATCCAGATGCGTACGCGCAGTGGTGCACAAGCACAATTAACAACAACAAACAACGCGGCACATTCGTCAATAACGGCACCGTTGTGACCGAAATCGACGACGTTTTTCAGGCGATGACCCTTTCTTCACAGCAACATGGCCTCGCGATCTACGTGCCATGAAGAAAAGAATGTTGCCAGAAACGTCGCCTATTGTATACGCGTTATATTTGAGGCCAAATATAAAGATTCCCTGTATAGCCTTAAACGACTTGGGGCAAGTGTTGTTGGCGAGCACTTATGAAAGCCGGAACGGTACGCGAGGACATGGGTGGCCAACACCACGCCCGGCCGCCTTTGTCTCCCCAGTGGCGATGTTTACACATCGCACCAGGTACCCATTTGAGGCTGAGTCTACCTAGGGGAGGCCCAGGACCGGTTCAAATAATCGCCAAGTTCGTAGCGCAGCGCGCTAACCGCTACACTACCGCTCCCCATATTTGAGGCCGCACACACGCACGCACACACACACACGCACACGCACGCACACGCACGCACACACACACACGCACGTACACGCACGCACACACGCACGCACACCCACGCACACACGCACGGACGCACACACCCGCACACACACGCACGCACACGCGCACACACGTACACGCACACACGCGCGCACGCATACACACACACGCACACACACGCACGCACACAGGCACACACACACGCACACACACGAACACACAAGCACGCACACACACGCACGCCCACGCACGCACACACACGCACACAAGCGGTGTTCTTGACGAGTGTGTTGAGTTGAAATTTGTTTCTTTTCTCGTCGTGTACAAGAGGCCGGCGCGTAACAACATCTCAAAACCAGCTCCCAGTCAGCACGTGGACAGCGAACAGGGTTCACTCCGCGAGTCGCACCGCATTCGAGGCCACGGCGTAAATATTAAAAAAACAGAATGCTGCTTTTCCCCGTGAAGATAGGCGATGATGATTCCGCTTACGACAGACACATACATAACTGGATACGTCCCTTTCATTCGCTGCGTCGTAAAAGTCGCCGTCATCATGATCGGCAGCAGCAGCAGCCATGGTCAGTCCACTGCTGGATGCATGCATGCATCCCTGCGTCAATCTCTTATTGTGTGCACCCAGAAAGCAATGCACGAACGTGACACGTGTTGCATGCGTGCACATGCACATATTCACCTGCGCGTCCGTGCGCGTGCGTGCGCGTGCATGTGAGCGCGCGCGCACGTGTGTATTTACGTGCGCGCAAAGATAAAATGATCCCCTCCCCGTATAGCCTCTAGCCGATTGTCGTGGCAAGGGCTGCGAGCGAGCAGCCCCCGTGAAGGCCGGCACCGCTCACGACTGGTCGTGCTTGGGCAGCAACACCGCACGCCCGGGCCGCCTTTGTCTCACCTAGCGCTGATGGGGTTTTTTTTGTTTTACACCGCACCAGGTACTCGTTTAAGGTCGAGTCGACCTAGGGGAGGAGGCCCAGGACCGCTTCTGATATTCGCCAACTGGTATTGCTCGTTGCCGGGAGACGAATTCTCGTCGCCGGAGAGCGGATGTGTCTGTGTGCGTGGGTGTGCCGAAGCGCCTGTGCGTGCGTTGTTGTTGAGAGACGCGCGCGCGCGAGCGTGCGTGCGTGCGTGCGCCTCTTCGTTTCGTGCGGGAGCGGTGGCGCAGTGGTGAGGGCGCTGTTTACGCCCCGAATGAGTTTGATTCCTGGCCACGGAGCCACGTCAGCGGCGAAATTAAATCTGAACCTATCCCGGGCATTACCCCCTGGGTCGACTCAGCCTCAATTAAGTACGCGGCGTGGGGTGTAAACGGAACAGAGCTCAGGTTCACAGGATTTAGAGGCGCAGAGCTTAACCCCATGCACGGCGCCACTGCTCCAGCCTGCCATCTGCGTGTAACGATGCACGTGTTGCGTGTTCCAGGTGCGCATCTGAATGTAGGTACATGTACACGTGTAGGTGTGTGTGTGTGTGTGACAGTAGGTATGCGTGTGTATAAGTCAATAGTGGATGTCCCATGGATTAACTCGCCCCCGCCATGTGAATGTGGAATTTCCACCACTGGCTCAGGCGCTGTACGCGAGAGATGAGCATGCTCGATTGCTCATTTGAGCAGGAAACCACAATGTGACTGTGAGTGTGTGGGTACGTGTGTGTGTGTGTGTACGTGTGTGCGTGTGTGTGTATGTGTGTACGAGAGCGGTGGTGTCGCGGTTGGCACGCTACAAACCCAGCGAACCGAGTTCGATTCCCGCTCACGACCAATAACAGTGGCGAACACCTGAACTGGTCCTTCTCTAGGGCCACTCAGCCTCAAATGAGTCCCTGGTGCGATTTGTAGCAATCATCGCCACTGGAGAGACAAAGAAGGCCGGGCGGGGTGCTAGCCACCCACCCCCTCGTGTACCGTTCAAGCCTTCATAGGTGCTCGCTCACGGCACTTGCCCCAACAGTCTGTTAAGGCTATATGGGGGGTCTTTGTATGTGTGTAGGTGTGTGAGGTGTGTATGTGTGTGTGTAGGTGTGTGTCTAGGTGTGTGTATGTGTAGGTGTGTGTGTATGTAGGTGGATGTGTGTAGGTGTGTGTCTAGGTGTGTATGTATGTGTAGGTGTGTGTGTGTATGTATGTGTAGGTGTGTGTGTGTATGTAGGTGGATGTGTGTAGGTGTGTGTAGGGGCGTAGGTGGTTAGGTGTATGTAGTTGTGTGTATGGAATCTCACCATCCGCATCGTAGCGGCTCCACGCATCCAGAAACTGCGAGGCAGAGATCTCCGCCTGTTGCAGGAACGAGCTCTGCTTGTCTGACATCTTCTTCAGCGGTCCCCGTTTACGCAACTTATCTCTATATCTCTCTATCTCTATATATCTCTATGTATCTCTTCCCCGTGTGTCTCGGGCTCTCCAATGGAGCTAACAGCCGTGGCGGCTGCACACTGCGAGTACGATGAGCCTTGAGTGTGAGCGAGCGAGCAAGCGTGAGTGAGTGAGTCTCTCTCTCTCCCTGTCCGCGAGTCGTCCACTCTGTGGCGATGGCCTCTCGCTTCTCGCTTCGTGTCCACAGCACGAAGGGCTCGCAGCGAGGGCGCGCTCGTCCTTAAACGCGCCCTCGCACCTGCCGCCCACCGCACCCCTCCATCCCACCCCTCCCTCCCCGCTCTCTCCACCCCCCCAACTCCATCTCCAATCACGATGGTCTCCCCCCCCCCCATCACACCACCACGCGCGTGCTGCACGCTCGATGCGTAATTTCGTATCGTGCGGGAGCGGGTCGCGCAGCGGTTGAAGGGTGCCGCTGACCGCGACGAATCCGCCCGCAGCCGAAGTTGGATTCCTGGCCGCGGCTATTACATCAGCGGTGAATTGTATCCGAACCGATCCCGCGGGAATCGCCCCTGGGGTCGACTCAGCCTCAACTCAAAACTCGGCTCCACCCTCCCGCGCCGTATTAACGCTGCCGGGGCTGTTAGCGAGCACCTATTAAGGTGTCGGCAAAGGGGTTGATGGTGATGCTGGCGATAACACCACGCCCGGCCGCCTTTGTCTCCCCCAACTCTCCTCCGAACACCCACGCACACACAAAGACCCCCCCCCCCCACATAGCAATGCACGAACGTGACACGTGGTGTACGCATTCGCAATTAAATCACTCTTTCGGCAACGCGTGCGCGTGCACATGCAAATATACACGCGCGTGCACATGCATGTATGCACACGCGCATGTGTGCCTTTACGTGCGTGCAAAGATAAAAGACCCCCTCCCTGTATAGCCTGCAGCTGACTGTTGGGTCGGGCTGATCGGTTTATCGATTTCAAATCGAAATCGCAATTTGAAACAATGTGATTTAGCAAATTGAAAATGCTGCGATTTTTTGCGATTTGAAAAGTCCCGTTACTTTCTTACTGGAATTGCTTTATTATTTTATTTTATTGCATTATAATATATAAAGCAGTTCATATTTTGATGGTATCACGTGGTAATGCTCCATCACATGTTTTAAATCTATTACACAGTGAATATTGAACTGAAGCTTGACTTTTAAAAAAAATAATCGCAAATCAAATCGCAATATCTGTCAAAAAAATCGCTATTAGATATTTTCTCAAATCGTTCAGACCCACTGTTGGGGCAAGTGCTGTTAACGAGTAGCCACCTACGAAGGCCAACAGCAACCACGCCCGGCCGCCTTTGTCTCCCCCGTGCTGATGTTTTACACACCGCACCTGGTACTCATTTGAGGCTGAGTCGACCTAGGGGATGCCCAGGACCGATTCAAAGGTGCTCGCTAACAGCACTTGCCCCGACAGTCTGTTACAGGCGATACGGGGGATCTTTGTCTTTGTGTATATGTGTATATATATTTGCGTGTATATGTGTGTGTGTATTTGCGTATGTGTATAGGTCGATTCAGCCTCAAATAAATACCTGTTGCGGTGTGTTAGCATCGCTACTGGGGAGACAAAGGCGGTCGAGCGTGATGCTGGCCACCCATCCCCTCGTGTGCCGTGCCGGTCTTCATAGGTGGCTACTCGCTAACAGCACTTGCCCCCACAGACTATTGAGGCTACACGGGGGGTCTTTGTATGTGTGCTTGTCTAGTGCTGGCCGTGAGCGGGAATCGAACTCGAGGTGGCCGCGTTCGTAGCGCAGCGCTAAACCCCCCCCCACACACACACCACCCTCACAACACCCCCACACACACCCCCACGACACCCCCACACACACACCCCCCGACACACACACACCACCCACACACATCCCCACACACACCCCCACACACACACCCACACACATACCCCCACGACACCCCCACACAAACACCCCCACGCACACCCCCACACACACCCCCACACACACCCACGACACCCCCTAGACACCCCCACTCACACCCCCACACCACCCACACACACCCCCCACACACCCCCACACACACCCACAAACACCCCCACGCACACCCCCACACACACCCCCACACACACCCACGACACCCCCTAGACACCCCCACACACACCCCCACACCACCCACACACACCCCCACACACCCCCACACACACCCCCACACACCCCCACGACACCCCCACACAAACACCCCCACGCACACCCCCACACACACCCCCACACACACCCACGACACCCCCACACACACCCCCACACCACCCACACACACCCCCACACACACCCCCACACACACCCCCACACACACCCCCACCGACACCCCCACACACACCCCCACATACACCCCCACACACCCCCCACACACACCCCCCCACCCACCCCACACACCCACACACACCCACACACTCCCACACACACCCCCACACACACCCACACACACCCCCACACACACCCCACACACACCCCCACACACACCCCCACCGACACCCCCACACAGACCCCACACACACCCCCACACACACCACCACACACACACCCACACACACCCCCACGACACCCCCACACACACCACCATACACACCCCCACACACACCCCCACACACACCCCACGACACCCACACACACACCCCCACACACACACCCACACACACACCCCACACACACACCCCTACACACACCCCTACACACACACCACCACACACACCACCACACACACCACCACACACACCACCACACACACCACCACACACACCACCACACACACCCCCAAACACACCCACACACACACCCCAACAACAACAACCGTGTTGTGTGTAAGGATGTAGCCGCCCGATGTTGTTGTTTGTTTGTTTGTCTGGGTTGTAGAGGCGTGCTCTTGTTGTTGTTCGGGCGTGACGTCCGACGTTTCGCACCCGCGTGCTTGGGAGCTTCTGCAACCGAAGGGAGCAGAGCTCTATCGCTACGACAGCGGCAAAGGCGCGGTGTCACCCCCGAGTGCTCGCGAGGTCACCGGCGGGGCTCGGTAAGCGTGGCGAGAGTCGGGAGGGAAACGGCGTCGAGGCCATTGGAAAGGGACCCAAAGGAGTGGGGGGGTTGGTGGGGTTGGTGGGGTAACGCGCCCCAGGTGAAGGCCTCCCCCGGGGGGACGGAGCGATGAGGCCATCCGACTACGCCGCGAGACGTAACGCCCGGCTCGGAGAGAGGTTTTCATCCAAGGCTGCTGATGATGATGATACTACACGTTAGAGATAACGCCGGCTTAGAGAGAGGTTTTCATCCAGCAGTGGATAGATCAAGGCTGCTGCTGCTCGCGCCGCCGCTGCTGATGGTGACACTGCACGTGCCTGATGATTGGTAGCCGCATCCCGCGTGACGTGGAGAGCGCTGGTTTAAATTAACGTCAAATTAAGATCGCATATCGCGAGCGCACAGGCGCGCACGCGTACACAAGACAAAGGTCCCCCGTTTAGCCATTAAGAGACAATTGGGCCAAGTGTTAGCGAGCATCAATGCGGGCCAGCACTGTACATGAGCGGATGGGTGGCCAGCACCACGCCTTTGTCTCCCCAGTGGCGATGTTTACACACCACCGCATCGGGTACTCATTTGAGGCCGAGTCGACCTAGGGGAGGCCCAGAACTGGTTCAGATGATCGTCACTTGGTGTTTGGTGGCCGTGAGCGGGAATCGAACTCGGTCGGTCGGGTTGGTAGCGCCGTTGGGTGTTCGCTACGGCTACATTTGTAGTGAGTCCAACTGAGTCACAGACGTTGTTCCTTTGGAGGCAACACTTTTATTGTTACACCGTGACACAAAGGGGTAACTGCCCCTTTACCAGATACAGCTTATGGTGGGGACCACCCAGCTAACTACCCTATACAGAGGAGTTACTGCTACGAAGGGTCGGACCCTCACTCGGGTATACGACCACGTGGTTGCCTTGTAGGACAAAGAGCTTCAGCTTGAGATGTAGAGCTTCCTGCTTGTAGATGTTGAGCTTCCAGCTTGTAGATGTAGAGCTTCCAGCTTGTAAAATGCAGCGACCCCGGTCCCTCTCAGGGACCCGCCTTATATCCCCTACGGTCGGGGCCGCTCCGCCCTCAGCCCCGCCCGCCTACTCGAGCATTCTCGTTCCCTCTCGATCCTTCTCAAGAGCTCTCCCTGGACGCGTGATCACCCACTAGGCCCCCCAACTGGGCCCCTTTTGTGGACACTCCGGATCACGTGTCTACGGGGTCAACTAGAGTGCCATGGCCCGGGGCAACCCTGCCCCTGGGCTGACGCTCACCCCCTCCCCCTCGTGGCAGCCCCCACCACACGCTGTGCGTGGTGCCCGCACTATCCCAGTGATCAGCAAGCCCCACTAGGGCTGGTGTTACACACAGCCACCAACATGGTGCTGTCCACGATGTAAGAACATCAAACGGCATGGCCCTTCTGGGCCGGCACCATACAGTGACATCCCCTATGTCACTACATCACCCCCCCCCCCCCCCTTGTAGCATCCAGCCATCTCGGCTGTCAACTCCCCCTTTAAACGAACAACAAGTAAAATGCAACGAGTAAAAAAAACACAGTGTGCCTCAACAATAACAAGAACAGAAATAGATACCCCAACACACCTGTACAGAAATTACACTATATACAAATGTACAAACCAGCAGGGAGAAGGGTGGCAAACAACGAACCAATAATAACCACACCATCTCACGGGATCCCCCATTACCATCACACCTCCCACCTTCATCATGTAACAACGGACGCAAGCACAATGGCGGCAAGGATCAACCAATAACCGCAGCGACTCAACAAGCGCGACAAGCAACCGACAGCGTGGGAGCGTGTGTGCAAGCGAATCATGAAAACAACACCATTCCCACAATAATATTAAAAAAACGCGTAACCCACGAGATCCCCCATACCATCGCACCCCCCACCTTCACCGTGTAGCAATACTCGTGAGATTCAATGGCGGCCAGGTTGAGCCAATGGCCGCCGCGACTCAACGAGCGCGACAAGCAACCGACAGCGTGGGAGCCGGGCTGTCCCTCGGCGCCGACGGCGCGTCTTCAATTTTGGCGGGCTGTGCGCTCCGCGCCGGCGGTAAATGGCGGCCGATCGCGCAGGCTGCGTCACCGAGTTTCCCGCCCATCGTGGAATGGCGGCATAGTCGTCATCCACGAGCGGTATCGCCGCTCCTTCCGTCGCCGGCGAGACAGCGAGGCTAAAC